GCATTGATAAAATGCAGGAATCACCTTGAATTCTATCAAAACTTTGACGCCTTAGATCTCAAGCTTCACCTTACTTGTAGGAAGCGAACACAAACCAAAAGCAACATCCTTGATGTTGGAGCCGAGTCTTCTTGAGATCAACTCCAAATGTAAATCAGAATGGAAAAAGCAAGCTACCAATGAGAACAAAAAAGTAAATGGTAGACAAATAAATAAAGAAAAAAAAGGGGAGCCACCAAGTAAAGCCGATTATTGAATGCCAGTAATGAAGAATGCTTCAAATTACAGGCAGCCAAATAAGAGAGGATACCGGGTACTTGAACTCTTGAGTTTCAAGCCACTTGAGTTCAAAATGACCCTCATAAGGTTAGTAGATCTGTAAGGAGTCAGCGCTCAAGTAACAAGATAGGTTGATAGTATCTTGATCAATAACCATTTTGTCACCTCCTTTGGAACAAAAATTATCCAAAACTCAGAACTCCCACTTCAAAGTCTCCACTCTCAAACCCAGACTCATCTCCTGCATGATCTCTGAAGATATTCAGAACTGACCAAATATCAAGCAGCTGCGGGTGCAGCGGATCTCCTGCCACAAATGAACTGACCTCACCATCCACCTCAATCTCACTACAAGCAGCTGTCTTTTTTACCCCTCTCCTCCCTATCAACTTCCTTATCCTCCGTGCATCCTCCAGCTTATTTGAATTCAAAAATATATTCGACATTTGTACAAATACACCATCATCATCTTCACCCTCCCCATTTATGGTCTGAAGCTCCGCCACCGCAAGCTCTGCAAGCTCAACATTGTTGTGGATCCCACAACCCGTCAACAGTGAACCCCAAACAGAAGCCAGAGGCCTCATTGGCATCCGGCGGATGAGCTCCAATGCATCAGCTAGCCTGCCTACCCTGCATAACATGTTAACAGCGCAGCTGTAATGCTCATGCTCAGGAACAACTTCGTAGCGTGAAATCATTTCAGCCAACAACCTCAAGCCCTCATCTACAAGACCAGCATGAGCGCAAGCAGCCATAACGCTGAGAATCACAATCCCATCCGGCTTCACACCGTCCTCATCTTTCATCCGGTTGAGGCAACAAAAAGCATCATTTGCTAAACCGTGCACTGCGAATCCCCCAATCATTGAAGCCCACATGAAGGAATTTCTCTCTGGCGCTGAATCAAACACCTTCACAGCTTCCTCAATACAGCCACATTTTGCATACATGCTTACAAGAGACGAAGAAATAAAAGCATCTTCCAAAAAACCAGGGTGTTCGTTCAATAAACACATGTGGATCCAAGCACCTTCTTTTAGAGCCCCTGCATGTGAGCAAGCCGTAAGGGCAGTGGTAATGACGTGCTTGTCCGGGATCAAACCATCCACAAACATTTCTTTGAAGAGTTCCAAAGCGTCAAACGGGAACCCGCGTCGGAGATAGCCGTTCATAAGCACGTCCACGTGAACCGCATCCGTTTGAGGAATTTCGTCGAACAGCTTCCGCGCTTGAATGAGATCGTCCTGGACCTGTGCGTAAAGTCTAAGGGCGGCCGTCTGAACGTAATGATCAGTTGCGGCGAGGCCGTTCTTGATGACGATTGCCTGTATCTGAGTACCAAAGGAGAAATCAGGGACAGCGACGCAAGCGGCAAGTGCGAAGGGGAATGAGTGGTGGTCTGGAGTGGAGAAGGGTTCGGGAGAGCGAAGCATCATGGAGAAGTAATGGAGGGCGCAATGGGGCTCGGGGCCGCGAGCGTGGGCATGGATAAGGGTGTTGTAGATGAAGGAATTGGGAGGAGCGGGGGAGTGTCGGAGGATGAGAGAGGCGTAGAGGAGGCCGGTGGTGGTTCGAAGAGAGCACGCAGCGAGGATAAGGCGGCTGATGGCGACGATATGGTGGTGGAAGCCGTGGGTGAGGAAGATAGCATGGATAATGTGAAGATGCCGCTCGCTGGAGCAGCGTTGGATGAAGTGCATGCATCGCAACCATACTGGGGTGGCGCCACCGCCGGCAGCGGTGCGCGGCGGAGATGGCATTATTGGCGGTTAAATTTAAGTGGTTGGGTTAGCAACCAGCTGAAAGTATTTTGGCGTGGTTCGTTGATAGACGGGGTGTAA